CCAACTATACGCGAACAACGAGGTCAGCTGGTTGATGTTTGCTACGCTGCCGTACATGAACAAACTCCGCATGAAGTCCGACTGAGCCGGAAACCTTGGATTGCTTCTGGCGTCGAGCTTCCGTTTCGTTGGATGTGCTCAATTTGGGGAGCCAGGGTAGCCAAAAAGGTGTACCGCATGCACTGATGGACGGTGGAGACTAGGTGATTTACGAGTGAAAGTGATCTCCCCAGCGGTTCAAACGCCTCTGTTGTTTGGTGATCGGACCGATCCTCCTCGCAAATAAGCTCACTGACACCCGGCTTCCTGTGACCAGTTGACCGAATGAGTTAGAAAAGCTTGCGAGTGTGGCCAGAAGACAGTCGTCTCCATCACTAAAGCGCGCTCAGACCATCAAACCTGGCGATCCTCGCACAAGTTTTGCTTGAGTAGCCAGTTAGCAGAGCGGCGCTGCTCCTTGCTATCTATCCTGTCGAGATATCTCTGCGGCGGTCGAACAGCTCCGGAGAGCGAACATAGATCCAAGCCGCGGCATCACTCTCCAATAGGACTCCTCATCTGTATACAAGTCCAGTGTTACTTTATGTCTTACGGTGGATTGCAACTATGTACGTATGCAAGTTAAGACTGATAGCTTGTTTGGACCGAGAAATCATGTATCTATTTGTACCAATCTTGCGGTGTTCCGTTTTTAGCACCACTCCAAAACACATGCAGAATTTAGCGCAAACCAGCACGTGATCCGATTTAATGGAAGTTAACTAAAAGCCCCGCATTCACACGCGCTGCTATGCTATATGAACCTGATTGCAATGTGATCAATTTGTGGCCGTTTGGGTTAGCGAAGGGGAACGCCAACTTCCTGACTGCTTCTCGGTATGGCTAAATTTGGTATTCCGGAGGAACATATGGTTGTCTTTGCACACTGTAAGCAGCACCTCTCCGTTGAGCGCGTGTTGGCCACCAAGGTAACATTCGTATAGTAACAAGCGGCCAGCGCGTGTATTGAAACCCGCAACAAGGACAATGTCCTCCTATCTTTTAGCGTTACACAACAACTGATGGATCTTCCGATAAAAGTCGTCCTTGATCAAGCCACTATTGTGGTTAGTTGGCGCGTACGCGGAGACCACAAACAGGTGGCGTCTCTTCTCATGACGCTTGTTTATTTTACATGAACCCCGAAATTGAACTGCATACAATCGGCCGTTAATCGGGAACCGGTCCAGTATTGCCGCCTCGGCCTTGCCACTTAGTGCAATACCTACACCAGCCAAACCCACTGAGGCTGCTTCTAGATTTCCAGAAAGTCGCAAGTTATATCTGGCTTCATGTTAGTAGGGGATATCAACATAAACACAGTGCTAGGGTCTTGCAATCGGGTTTCGGAAAGGCGGTATACCTCGACATCGAGGGGCCATAGTGAGCGCGCTAGGCCGGCTTGCTGTCCAATCTTCATGAGTGTACGTTGAAGCATATTAGACTGAATGAGGATCGTGGTCGAGAGAGAACCATAGGTTGAACCCCATGGCTCGCGGCGCAACCGGAATCTCAGACAGATTCATGAACATAGGAATCGGGTAGCGGGTAAGAAAGATTGTTAGCAAGCCAATATTTGGTGTGTAATAACTTCGCGTGAATTTAAGAAGCAGCAACGGTAGCTGATGAGCACGTCGTAAAACAGTCCACGGTTACCCACACAGAAATAGGGAGTTGTCTTAGGTGACCCCAACACGAGTCTTCGGTTTAATGTCCCAGTTGCAAGGCAGCGGGGCGAATTCAGTAATAACGCCCATTGGGAGCTGGTGACCGCTTGCTCAGTTCATACGCCTTTCGCTTGATCGGTTACCAAACAGGGCCTAGTTCTCTCCACGATTTCAGCTAGAGGGTGCTGGGATACAATGCATCACTAGAGTGAAGCAAGAGGCGGTGACATTATTTTGTGTTGAGTCACACCCGCCACGTTTCAAGGTTACTAGCAATATTTTTGTGGCTTTTCATATGGAGAACGCTTGACAGGCAGAAAGCCACCACGTCCTAGAACCCTGCTGCTGTACCATTGGCTGGAACAGAATGATCACGAATCACCCATCTGCTGCCATCATCAGCAATACACGTTAGCCGAGGGTGCGAAACACACCTCAGCTGATGTACCGCGACACAAAAAGTAAGACATTAAGCAATGTAGACCAAATAATCTAAATAACTAACGTACTGCTGACATCACATTTTTGACTGTTGTTGGGAAGGGGAGTTAAATTGATTCGGATCACACGCCACTGTCCTCGACTCTTCGCCATGTCGGCTAGGATGTCCAGTTAAACGTGTTCATTCTTCGGTCCCCAGCCATGCAGTCGGGAAACACCAACTGACGCCAACTTCGAAGTGAGCGACTTCATTCCTCTTGACCAAGTCATCGCTTGGCCTCCTTTTCGTCCATCCACATCCCCGTTGCGCAAGCAACGCACCTCGGGGAGTCGGTGGGCTGGCTTGCGCAACATGTGACCCAGTCATCATCGCCTCGTGCGTAATGTAACGGTGTTGAGCGGTTCACTCGCTCTTCTTACACCAAATGCGCTGCACACGCTCATTGCTCACGCGGTGCTCCCATCAGCCATGATCTATGCTGTAAAGGCATCGATGATCGAAGGTAACTCGCCTCTTTATGTCTGTCAACTTGCTGGGTCATGTTTCGCAACCGTACAGAAGGAGGAATAAGAAGACGGGAAGGCTTGTGCAGTAGCATCCAAATCTCTATCCACCCTGCTCGATGCAACAGATAGGGCGGTCAGAGAATCTAAAGATTATTTGATGGAGTACTCATAATGTCAACACCACGCGGAGATTGTTTGCACGGGTGTATATGGAGATCAGAAGGACAGGTCGTTTCTCATAGATCTTGATCACTACTGACTTAAGTGCCATCGGACAGGACATTTGGGGCGGCTTCTTGGACACGTGCGTTATCCTTACAGTGAACATCCAGTGAATTGAAACGTACCAGTTCTCGAGCGCGCATAAATTGTGAAATTTCTAGCAATCGTCGTTTAAACAACAATATACAGCACAGTATTTGATGGAATGATAACCATATGGCTTAGCTCCACAGTTTTCTCAAATAGCGTCTGCTCTCTTTGGCCCTCAACGCCCGGTTCTACCATATGTCCCATTTTCACTCCATCGCTAAAAATAGCGTGAAACAGATACTGAATTACTTTGAGTGGAAGGATTTTGGTGAGTATTTTGGTTCGTCGCAATCAACCGACAATTCAGGTATGTCGATCAGCTATTCGGAAAAGCACCAGACGGCCGTTTCGCCCTATTGGGGCTCATCAGCGGTGCGCATCCCTCGGTCCGCTGCGGAGGATCGAACCCATGACTGCTAGTGGCCCTTGCCAACTAGCCCGCAGCTTATGCAACTGCGCCATGGAGGACGGTATTCGACCACCACGAAATGTTAGCTAAATGCGATATAGCTCGACCCATCCTCCACCGCCATGCAGGCACCTGCCATGCAAATGACAGCGGTTGGCCTTCCGGCGTCAGGACTTTCCGGTTACGGGCTATATCGCATTTAGCTAACAATTCGTGATGCTCGGATACCGTCCTCCATGGCGCAGTTGCATAAGCTGCGGGCTAGTTGGCAAGGGCCACTAGCAGTCGTGGGTTCGATCCTCCGCAGAGGACCGAAGGATGCGCACCACTGATGAGCCCCAATAGGGCGAAACGGCCGTCTGGTGCTTTTCCGGATAGCTGGTCGACATATCTGAATTGTCGGCTGATTGCGACGAACCAAGATACTGAATTGCACTGGACAAAGATGGCAGCGGCAATATGATTGGCCTAGGTCCCTAAATGCATTTCTATCATCCCACTTTCTGCCAGATGCCGGCAACCGAATGCAGGAACCCCACTGACTGCTTGACTGCGCCATGTGTGATACAGTCTCTAACCATTGGTGCCGATCATCCCGAGGTCCCATCCACGGAGACCGCATGCACCAGCTTGGCCGAGCTCTCTGTCAATTTCTTCATGCTTCTATGCCACGTCACGAAGTAGTCTCTTCGCGGTTTCGCCCAACGCCACGGCATATAATGCACGCCGTGGAAGCCGGTCAACGGGTATACGGCGGACATGCCCTAACCCACTTAACCGATTAAAATTCAATAAAGATTCGAGTGAGGCATCAGAAAACTCGTAGCCGCGATATGTGAACTGCCGATGATTTTCGCGATGCAAACCAGTCATGCACTAGAGAACGCGCCTCTAGATGACACAGAACAGTTGGGATCATTTGCGAGCTTCATGTGTGGGGCCCAGGCGACCTCATCCACAACGTAACGGTGATGAATGATTTGCGCACTATGCGCCATTCTTCCGCGCTGATTCATAATTTTGCTAGTTTCACCATGCCTGCTCCTTTTTCCCCTGCTAATCATCAGTAATGCGCCACAACATAGTCATTGGTTCGTGATAGGTTTTATTCCTAAAGGTTTGCACAGTTCCTTGGATTACTTTTCACTCGTGCCAACGTGCAATGCGCACTACGTATCCCGATGTCTTTTGTTTCGGCACAATAGCTAAAGTGTGTTGCTCACCTTCAGTTAATGTGCCATGATGATGATGCCATGTTAAACCTGTCTTCTTCCAGTGATTTCCATGGTTTTGTTTGGCTCTATGTCTATTTAATGGACTGCTGCCTATACATATGCATCCCGGTCAAATTAAAACCAATTTGGTATCACTGTATGTTCCAGTGAGCCGTTTGCTTCTTGATAGCAAATGTGCATTCTCATCCAACTTTTTCTCCATATCCACCAATTTACTACAGTTGCCCCCCATTGACATGCTCAAAGTCGGTCTTTTGTTCTTTTTTTTATATAAAATGGTGTGGCGGTTAGCTTTTATTATTGAAACACCTGACCATTTGGGTTCTTGAGCGGAAGGTAGGCATTTTGTTTTGAAACTGTGAACTCACCTACTCTTTGCTCTCCTTGAAGGTTGGCTGCTCCACTGCACCAATTTGTCGTTCAGACCCTCCGGATCAAGATCCTAGTTATATCCACGCACTCAGTTTGCAAAGTGGTACCCTGGAGTGGCACCTGGATCGGGCTATTGATTCGGGAGAAGTGGCTTTAGCGGAAAGGTTTAGCGATCAGATTTCTGAGAAACGAGTGAGTCCCATGCCCCCATTGCTTGTTGCTGTGGGTGTTCGATAGCTATATTTCTAGTGGAGAAGGATTCCCATGCTAATCATTGATAGCAAAAAATATGGCTGTTGCTCTTTTATTTGGTTGTGAGAAGCGAAAGAAGTACTTTATCCTTGCGTCTCCCAGTCTAAATTGTAACTAGAACTGCGTTCGGATTTGTCGCACTGGACTCTCTTTTGCATTTGAACCACCGATATTCGTTTCCCCGCGTTATTTGAGTATCCACCGATCGCGTTCTGCGGTGTATTTCGTTTGCCATGGCAGCAATTATTTCATTCCCAAGGCCGCCGACTGGCACTTTGTGCACGTCATGACGTTTCAGCATGTACGCTAACTTTTCGCGTCGCTTCCGAAAAGAACCTTCCTTGTTTGCACGACGTTACGTGATGGTGTAAAGTACGAGAAGTGCAAAAGTTAACTTTATAGCTGGAGATGAAGCCAACAACGACTGTGCTGACCGCTGTTAGTCCTTCTCGCTCTTCGGGCTAGAGTCCACGCGAGCAGTTGTGTTTGGAGCAAGACGTTACAAGAGATAGCTTATAGTCCACACCAGTGCCGCTTTTTTGTGACCTTTTAGTTGGATCATTTGTTTAAATTGTGTTTGAGGCGTAATCTATTTGCTAAGGTTGATTATGACGCGAGGCAATGAGACCCACAAGAAGCTGCCTTATCGATACCATCTTATCTTTGCTTGGTAGTCGGTTACTTTGTGACCGCCTCACAACTTGACAAGTTGTAGGTACTTTGTCCCGTGAAGGTTTGCTTAGGGTTCCCTTCTCTCCTCTTGCATATCATCAAAGCGTACGTGCAAAATACTGACGACGTACTTTTTTTCATGATGAGCGGATGACATGAAAGGCGCTTTGAAAATACTAATGACTGATTAGACCGATGTTTATGGTCTTCCTAAATAAAAGCTTTGGGACCAACCACCCCAACACAAAACTACCTTTTGGGCGGATTCTTTGAGGTCAGACAGCCACCACACACCCAGAGAAGCACTGGATGGCCGTTGGGACTCAAAAGTAGAGCGCATCCGCCGGATCCGAACCCATGAACTTATTGTTGCGAGTTAGCGACTTGTATCACCACCATGTGTGACGGCGACGGACTGCCATGGCTTATTTTTAACTGTGATTTAGCGCTGCTCATCATCCACTGTCAGGCAGGTTATGAAGCAGCACAGAACATAGCTGGACACCACAGTTACGGCTACCATTACAACAGTATGCTACTTCTATTGGTGACGACTTGCAAAGGCAGTCTTAGCTCCGTGGTGCTAGGCTTATTTCCATTGCCTTCAAACTTCCTTAGAGTACCATTTTTTTGACAATTTCCTGGTCATCTTGAGTGTCGAATCATTGAAAACTACACTGAAATCCTCCCCGGGTCGTATCTACATTGATCAAGTATGTACTCTTCGTCAAGTAAGATGGTTTTCCTTCACCGGTAAGTTACGTTCAACTCTGTTTGTCGTGCAGGCTTGTGGCACTGCCCATCTGTTAAAGACATGGCATAGAAATTCCATTCCATTCCTAAATATATTGGGACCGCTGAAGTCAGAAAAGAGTCTACGGGAAGCTGTCTCATTAGTTCTCAACGGCATATGAGGTTCGTCAGTTAGTTTATCTTTCTTTTCCTCCGCAATCTTATGGTCCAAATCGCCCTGACTGTCCTCTGCGTCTTCCGGATCGGAAGTTCTACTAGGTGATAAGCCTAGTATATGCGGGCGACATAGCGCTCCTTGGGTCTGACACAGTGGCTATGCAAACACTAGTGCATAGACTGACGTGTAGCGCTACAGGCTTCGACATGTGCTTCACACCTTCAAAATGCAAAGTATTGTTGCAGGACTGGACCGAATTGCTATCTATTTAAGCTATCATCAACCGGCCACTGGAAGTGATGGATCAGTTGACTTACCTTTGTAGCTGTGTCACCTCTGACGGTCACCTCACTGAGGAGGTTACTTCTCGTATTAGCAAGGCTTGTGTGGCTTTTTGGAGTCCAACGATCTATGGAAACGGTGCGATATCAGCGTGTCAGTGAAAGGTAAAGTGTATAACACTGCGATACGACCGTGTTACTGTGGATCGGAGACCTGTCTGGTTCGCTGTGCAGATACATTAAACGCCTGGCGGTGTTTGACAGCCGGTACTTGTGGCGTATTGCTCACATCTAGTAGAAACGTTGGATGAGCAATGCTGAGGTTCTCCAGTTGGTTTTTGTCAAAAAGCCTTCCGGTGCTTCATTCGAGTATTTGCTTAAGTCAACCGCTTACGTGGGCAAGGTCACGTCCTGTGCATGCCCGTTGACCGCCTTCCTCCGCGTTCATTATACCTCGTGGCTGCGCTAGTTTGGGTGAAACCGCAAGGTGTCTGGTCAATGACGTGGCATATATGCATGAAGAAGTTGTTCGGAAGATTTGATCAGGCTGGTACCTGTCCTCTTTGTGCATGCGGTCACAGTACTGTCCACATCAACGGTTCAAGTTGTCATCAATCGTGGCTCAGTCGGGCTCTCAGCGATGCTCCTGCATGTAACTGTCATTGTTCCATCCCCCGATTAGTTTAACTCACTTCCTTCTTAGTTCGATCGACTTAAAGCGGCACAGTTGTCACGGATTAGTCTTGGTGATAGAACAGCGCCACTCTTGCTCCGCTACTAGGCATTTTCTGATCTGTATGCGTGGTAACTCACTTACGCGTCACCGCGTTTGCAGATCTGATATTTATTACGGTCGAACATTTGCACAACCAGTTCGGAATCAGCAAATTTTTCACGTGGATGGCCCCGGATAGACACCCTGCGAATTGTATATTAACTTACTTACACTTAGACATTCGAAGCATACCGGAACCTCACGTAGAATACCGGCGTTAACAGGCGGACTGACGTCACTGGTTCGCACCGGAAACTGATGTATTGCAAGTGGATCACCTGAACCACCGTATTCTGGCTGAAATTGATTCTCACCGCTTTGGATTGCACTATCGATTCCAGGTGGGATTCATAACATAGATCTCAATTTACCGTTTACCATGTGCATCATTTATGGTACCTCTCCTGGAACAGGCAACCTTCGATAATCATCTGACCCCTGTTGATGACCTGTGGTGTTATTCTGTTCCCCTTATTTTCAATTATCCTTTTTTCACGATGAGCAAAAAGAGAACGCTATCAATCTCATCAGTCACACTAATTAGGAAACCGCTCTATGTTCTAAGCCTATGCTATCTTAACCCATCAGGTCATTTTACGCCCTCAGATAATGTCAGTTCTTGCAACATGTGGAATTTGACAAGACCTTGCACTCCCTCGGAGCTTGGCGTGTACTCGGTTTACGTCAATATACAGATGACATAAGACTCTTCCTGCACCTACTGGCCTTGGGTTTCCGACGATATCTACGATATCCTAGTCACTGTCGGAAGACACAACCCCTTTACAGTGAATCCCAATGTGTACTCACCTATGTGTGATTCGATCTGATGAATATTCCAAGTTGTTCCACGGAATAGACTGACAAGCCACCAGCTCTTACTGCTACCGCACAACGGCGAAGGAGCTCAATCCATCTCTTTATCCGAGTTAATCATCGAGATCACTGCAAGCATTATTATGGCTCATGTGGCTGTTCAAACCCCCTGCCACTTATGGAGATGATGCTATTAAGGCTTGTTTGGATTTGCAACATTGCAGCATGATCGTTGTAACGGTTTCCATCTGAGTCCTGGCCACTACGTGCTGAGATCACGAAGCGCTTGCTTTTGTTTAACCACAACCGGATGAGTAATAGTGATCAGTCATCTAGGGTCAGCCGGTTCCCGAATGGGCAAAGCTTCTGCCCTGTACTCCACAGGCCACCGGTGCCAATCCACAGGGATCCTGACTGCTTCGCAGCATTCATAGCCCGCGCGCGACTGGCGGTGATGGCGTAGCAGCGAAGCTTCTGTATGATGTACGTGCTTCTTCTCGTTTGGTGTTCGGTGCGAACCGTTTGATGTCTCGTTGGAGTACCCGTCGTACTCGAACCGTCCAAGCTAGCTGGACCATGTCCCTCACATGTCTGCTAGCTTGCTTCGGTGAGCATTGTGTTTACAATTACTGAACTTAGCCTGATAAAACCCCCAAGCTAGACAATTAATGACGTGGCAAAAGAACATGCAATGACTAGCCGTACGGCTTAATAGAGTTCGTACTTATCATCCTCCTAGACCACCATAATAGTACTAATAGCTTACTCTTGATTTTCACTTGACATGCCTTGATTCCTCAGGATCGGTCACATCCCTACTGAAGGGCCCAATCGGACGTGACTCAGTCACAAAATTCGTGGCGCTGTTGCGTCCCTCCCTCCATTTGAACTCAAGACGGTCGATTATGGAACTGCATGCTTCGTCAAAGCAAGCATTAAGTTGTGACCTAAGGGTGCGTTCAAAGTGTTCTGCTCTTTACCCCAACCCTTCTATAGGATTTCGGAAGTGCCTACTAATAATGGGTGATTCCGTTACGATCAGGCACGTGTAACTCGAACTTCGCAGACCTGCTTCTTGTCATTCCCGTGATTAGAGGGGAATCTACTGATTCAAGCACTAAACGATTCATCCAGTGTTTTGTTTAGCGGATGACGCGTTAGTTTTTGTTGCTTCTCAAGCTTAGCACGATCGTAATCTTTCCCGACTTCTGAGACGTTCCAGTAAACGAAACATCAAACCGATACATGAGAACATAGAATTATGCAAAACAAGTTGTGTTTCATGGGCACATACTTAGTTTGGAAGGTTTGAAATCAGATCCATGGAAAATCAGAGCCATAAACGCGGTGCCTTCCTCCGTTGACCTAAAGGTTGCTAGCTGGCTGAATGGGATAGATACTTGAACCGTTTCTTGGCACGATATGATGACACTAATTCAGAAATTGACTAATACAGATGAAAATTGGCACCGGAGAGCAGAACAAAAGAAAACATTTTAGAAGGCCAGGAAATTGCATGCATGCGCCTACAACCATCAAGCATGCCTCTCGAGATTCTTTGGGACAGTAGTCAACTGGGCATTAGAGTCGTGCTGATGCAAACCAGGAAACTCGTTGATTTTCTCTGCCAAACACTGTTGGAGGCCGGGCCTCTACGCGTAAATTGAACAAATTATGCTCGCACTGGTTTAGGCCTTAGAACACTTCCAATACCATATGTTCGATCGCAAGATAAGCGTCTTCACAGGCCACAAGGCATCGCTAGCAAACCGCTCCACATTGTTCTACGTTGTCTACACTGCATGCTTATTCGTGTCCAGAATTGCCATCTGGATATTGTCTATCAGCCGGGATCCAAAACGCACACTGACGACACGCTATCAAGAGCGTGCCTTTCAGATACAACCGGAACGCATCAAAACTCCGAATTCGTTCATGCAACAAACCGATTAGTGTCACCGAGAAATGTCCGAAGCAAGTGCTTTCTTACATGGAAGAAGTTGAAGCAAGCAATATTGAAAGCATAGCTTGAAGTTATATAGAAGCTACCCAAGGAACCGATTCTACTTTAAATTGTGAGACGAGCTCGTCGCTCAACATACTTGTCCCGAGGGCAATGCAACGTTCTATGCTGGAGCTCCTCCAAATGGCTTTACCCACGGACACTGCGGGTTTTTGAATCACTGTGTTCTGGATACTACTTTTCTTTCGGATTACTGTGTTATAGTTGTTTTTCTGTGTGAACTGTGCACCAATATTCTTCTTTTGGTATATTTTCCAATCAGTGCAAATTCGGTGGATATTCTTTGGCTTATTCCGGAGATCTCATTGATTGGCCCAACTGCCATCTGTGACCGGCATCTTGGATTTGCTCTACCTTGTGATGCCGTCTCAAGCTACTTGTGGTTTGTGTTCGATTATTAAGCTCATGTACTTCGCTGCTACGGCTGTGGTGTTTTGTTTCATATTTCATGCATTGGCTTATTTGTTGACGGGTTTCGAAAATCTCTTGACCTCCGGCATCGGTTTTTCCAAGTTATGTGTGATAAATGTCGCGGTGCAAGACATCAGAATACACAGCGACCACCAACAACTACGGGAAAACCACTCTTCCAGGTGAAAACAAACCGTCCACCACGTGGGGTCAAACCCCCTCGTGAAAGTACCTCGGTCACATAGCCTTCCCTTGTCACTCCACGATCTGCACCACCACCAGCGTCTTCGACCCCGACCGAGCCTCAGTTTCAGTGTTACCTACCGATTGCAGATTCATACTCGGAACCTACGAAATACCGCTTTACTGATCGGTCCGTGAATTTCTCAGAGCCTGTCTGTGAATCTCTGAACACCGAGGATCCATGGACCACCCAAAAACCCTAGTGGCCGCGTAATCGAGTTCAGACGTCCCTGCTGATAAAAACAACCCAAATCGATAAGCGCCTCTAGTCCTGCTCCCACAGGATTATCATCGATTTTACTGAGGCGTCATAATCTCACGGTCTTCCACATATCAGTAAAAAGATGAAAACCCTAAGATACGTTTTGATCACGATGTTGAGTTTCTCCAGTGGCTCATCGATAGACTGTCAGAAGTGGGTGAAGATATTGTGTCGATTAAAAAAGTAATCAGACTTGGCCAGAAAACTAACCGGTCATGTCGACCTCTGCGAATCACCTTCGCTAAGCACAATATGCCACAGCTCATACTGTCTCGTCTGTAAAGACTCAGGCATAAAGGTTTACATCCGCCAGGACTTGGAATCAGAAGACAGGGATCGTTTGAAGACTGCGATCATTGAGCGCAAACGCCGTACGGTGAGACTGGCTTACAAATTATAAATTTTCGCCTGATTAACAAAGATTTACGAACCCATATCAATCGGTTACTCAACCTTCAGACACGTCCCGCGGTACCTCCCAGGACCTCTGTGTGGCAATCGCCAGCTTGTGCAGCCTAAAGAACAAACGTGACGAAATGTACCGCTTCGCTGTCTCGGAGCGGTCGGACATTTTAGGAATTGCAGGAACTTTGCTCAACTTCGACGTCATACCCCAAGAAGTCTCGTTGTCAGGATACCCTTTTTCCGATGCGACTGAAAATCAAATGTTCACGGTGGTGTTCTGTTGTACATAAAATCGTCACCATCTGGCAAACTTACCAGCACCTATCGGAGCGAGGATAACTTATGCAAGCAATTGTGATGCACAATCCGCCTCAGACACACAGAACTAATACTGAGTGTTATCTACCGTAGACCATTAAAATTTTGTTGCAGTTGGCTTCCACATATACAGAAGCACATGGGCCGCCCTCATTTCTTAATCATGGGGGATCTAAATTTACTTAAGATATTCTGGCCAGATGTTCTGCTTCTTTTCGGTTATGGCGACATCGAGGCTCAATTGGCTAAAATGACTATTGATATCGGGCAACGCAACATATCATCCAACTGACGCGCGTAATTCCGCACTCGGCATCTTATCTGGACCTAATGTTTGCGAGCTGCGAGCAGAAGCTGAACGAGATCAGAGTCATCGAACCTCTGACGAACAGTGACCACTGCTCCATTTTGGCAAGCATAGAACTGCCGTTACCGTAGTACAACCAACAGAAGCCGACATTCCACTATTGGAAGAACGACTTCCACGGGCTCGTTCAAGCCGCAAGTCAGATTGTTTGGACACTACCACAGGATGCGTCGCCTGAGGACTGTTGGTGGTTAATGTAGGGGAAGCTCGACTCGGTGTATACTCGGTTCGTTCCCCTTAAGTATTCCAAGTCGGACGTATCAAACCGCGTTATTTTGAAACGGAATATAGATAGTTAGCGCGACGACGTCGCAAACGTTGGGATAGGTACGTCAGCTCGTGTTGTGATGAAGAATATTCGGTGTAAAAGAAACAGCGGAACTTATGTGACACCTTAGAGATCAAGAAACGCCGGCAGTTTGAAGGGGGGCTAGTATCCTGAGCCACAACTGTACCCAAAAGAATATTTGCCTACTTGAGACCTCAACTGCAACCTGGGGCTGACTTACCGGTCTTAGAGAGCTTGGACGGACAGGCGCTCATTTCACGCGCGGAGCGCGCGGTCGTCTTGGCTACTCACTTCCTCACTGCAGTTTCCAGTAAACCGGCGGCTGTTACAGTACCGGCACAGGTTGTGCCAGTTTTTCTCGACAGCCTACAATGTGATGCAGTCGGAGTTCATCAGCTACTCGTCAACCTTGATGGTACAAAGCCCCCCCCGGACCAGACGGACTTCACACACTAATACTCAACTCCCTATCGAATGTCATCTCACCAGCCGTGACAAACCTATTCAATAAATCACTCTGTAAAGTGTCTGTCCCCAACGACCGGAAATGCTCCATAGTTAGACCGCTTCCCAAGGGTGATGATCCGAGTAAAGTAGAGAACCATAGACCGATCTGTTTGACTGCGATATTATCCAAAGTTCTCGAGAAGCTTGTGCAAAAATGTCTGCTGTTGTTCTTTGAATCGATGAACTTATTGACACCAGCGTAACACCGCCTTACGAAAGGGTGATCTTGCCTCACCAACTTGATATGCACAAACCACCAGTGGGTACGAGCTTTCAGTGAACGGAAGGATGTTGATGTGGTGTACCTCGATTTTCGTAAGGCGTTTGACAGACTGAACCACGAAGTACTCCTTCATAAATTGAGGAACTACGGAATCGGTGGCACGCTACTTCAGTCCATACGCGGATTTACTTTGGAACGAAAGTTTAGAGTACAGGTCAATGACTACCTGACGGATTGGTTCCCAGTTGTATAGAATACACGACCCCGGGTTCGGTGCTTGCTATCTGTACCTGAAAAGTGCAGTGTTTTCGGACGGGTAACATCCATTAGCCATTTACTTCATCAGTTACGATCCCAGTAATCAAATTGACTAGAGTGTTCACTTCAGTGGGAATCTCGATCCATTCACACAACGAGTGTTTTATCATCACACGCCCGCAATTTACCATGAGCTAGCTTTATTCGCCTATTGTGATGCCTGGCCCAGTTTTACTTACGTAATGCCCTGGTGCAATTCGTGGATGTGTAACCGCTTCGTTCCACTGAATCTAAACGCTCCTTTTGATTATTTTAATGTTTTCTCAGTTTCTATTGAATTATTATTATTTCACACTTCTTATCAACGTTGCGACTTAACGCTGCTAATCAGTTAACTAACTAAACAACTACATATTCCCCATTACGGTACATGAATCATGATTGATCAGCTAAACCTACTTGATCATCTTCGGAGTACTCTTAATCTTCGCCTGACGATCTAAGGCAACATGTGTAACACCGTGGCGCTATCAACATTACTGTCTAGATAAACGTCGTGGCCACTGCGAGGACACCAAGAGGTGGGCTGTTTTCTGATCGCTCATTCTTACGAAACGTACATCCGTTCTGGATGTGAACGATTCATGATGAGTAGTACATGATTCGCAACAATGCTGGGTTGAATCTCTACTGTTTTCATGGACGTCACCTTCGCACTCCTGTCTCAACAGGCTACCGCATCCGGAATCGCGTTGTTGGTCTGGGACGCCTCAGGGTTACTAATCCGTTTTCCCATGACTTGTAGAATCTGACTGATAAACTTAGTTACAGTGAAGCATTGGAACTGTATCCAGTTCCTTGGATGTGGCGTGTGTGTGCACTAATTTGTATCATTTCATCGGCGGTATTGTGACCGCGTTCACAATGCACACCAGCTGCAATACTCACCCCCTTTTAGAGTTGTCACTTCGTACTCGTGTTTCATATTCCATCTCTTTTTTCAGACACACGTCACACGATCCGCAGACTACATGAACTGGACCGCGGCGCCTCAGAGGTGCAAAAAGCGAAAGAAACCCTATTGGACGTAAGTTTCTGCTTTCGACCGCTAGTCGGTTGACAGAGTGATGGACCTACAAATTTACTATCATGTTGGTATTTGTTCTCGCAACATAATTACTCACTGGTTAGGTTGAACGTCGGAATACGAGCCCTGATAATTATTTCGCCGCAAACACTGACACTTGTAAGATTGAGTCTTTTCTATTCCCACGCTACATTCGTGTACTTGCATGATGTAATAAGTACGATTAAAGCTCAAGGAAATGTACCCACCGTTCACTCACACTTCATAGGATGCATGGGAGGTTTCATGCTTCCTACTTAATATGGTCTTCTTCAATTTGAGAGGCACTTCTGATTCGGTGAATAACGCATATCTATGTTGCCGTCCATCGCTAACTCATAGTGTTCAAATGCTATGCGGACATAGCTACTGTCTACTGGAAATCGGGACCTCAGAGGCCAACCACTGTCCTCTGCGATGGTGGGAATCTACATGACAGTGGAGGATCGGTTGCGCTATATCCCTGTTAGCTTATAAGTTCAGACATTCTTTCTCCCCCTTGTCTGAATGGCATAAGCTGCTGTCTAGTTTGTGTAAGCTTCTGGCAGTCATGGGTACGACACTCCGCAAGGAACCTAGGTAATGCGCACTACTGACGAGCCTCATACGCTGCAACGGTTAACGGTTGCTTTTCAGTATTAGAGCTAAACTCTCTGACTTTTAAGCAACTGGGATGAATCAGTAAAATATCATCTGAACTCCTCCTACGCATAAATTACCGCTAAGTAGTTTGTCAAGGACCGCCTCCTTCGCTGATCCCTGGAGTGGATAAGCTAGAATTTGTTCAGAGATTCTCCGGCCCGTAGCCTAAAGGTAATAAGCTTGTAATCTGACGGTGGAAGTTCGATCCTACGCAGGGCGACACTCGCAGTATCCCTAGCCTACATTCGACCGGTGGTGGTTCCGCAGCAGCGACGCATCGGTACTGTGCGCCGTGGTACTGCTGATGTCTCGTTCAGAAATCCAACTACCTAGACAGTTGTATCAGCTCATGTGGAATCGATGATGTCACGAACCATGTAGCAGAAGCGTGCCTTTGGCTCATATCTGGTGGAAACACGGTGTGGGTAATGAGCGTGTTCGGCGCGTTGTTCATATCACAGGAAGAAGAACTGGACCGCCTAGCACCGTTATTTCACGACCCAGTCTCCCATGGCTAGGCCACATGTTGCACATGCCAGCACACTGGCTCACGCGACGTGCGTTGTTTGCGCGCCAGAGTCTGGATGGAAGAAGCGGAAGGGAAGCCAGCCGATGATATGGTCATGAGGAATGAAGGCGCTTAGTACGAAGTTGTCTTCGGTCGCAGCCTCACGGCTCCCTGTTTAGTTTTTGGAAGACGATGCACACGTTTGGTTAGATACGCTTGTGCATATATCTAGGAGCCGACCTCAATGTGGTTTGTGCTGTGAGTTGATTTGTCACCCTCCAGCTACGATCTCATTTCTGACAAGTAATCTAACTTTAGTAAGCGAACATGTTTTCGATTATTATCATTTGGCTTATACAATTATGTGAACAAAATTGGCTATTCAGAGCTTTGTTAATGCCAATATGCGGCGGAAATCGGAGGCACCTGTAGTCCTGACGGTGGAACGGAAAACCATTTTTCTGCAACTGCGGTACAAAGAGAAATTATGGCGGTGATTCTATCCCGCTGTCTTTCGTACACTTTCAGGAGTACCTTCCCAGCATCGAGGATTCAAATTTAGTTCACCAGCAGCGCAATGGTGAGGCAAAACCTCAACGGTAATCTGCATGTCCACACCAAATCTGTGTTTACTCGCACACCTATTCCTGTTGGGCAGCGTACATTGTTCGTATGACAAGGCGTTTACCCGAAAGCGTATAGGAAAGCCATTCGGCTTCACTCGGAAATGGAGGTCGAACGATTATGAGCTCCCCCATTCCCATACGTCTTGCGGACACAGCTCACACCACAAAGTCGGCAGATCCGTTCAAAATAATCTTTCAAGCCCAAGAAAATCAACCGAAGTACGTCCTTAAGCCGATATCAGACGCCACAGAAGCTATTGCAATTTGGCTGTACAAACCACGGCTTTGCACACAGAACAGTTTCACTCTGACTTTGAGGCTACCCTGGCTTGGACGGATCTTCGTTGACCCGTGCGAGCGTGTGGAGACTACAGCGAGGACCTAACCGAGAATGTTTGCCATCATGTGTTAGAATAAAGTGGCCGATTGACGACTTGTTAAGTCTGTCTGCAAATTTTGATTGTCATGTAATTTTTAAGCCTGATGGTGAGTTATCGAATACACATGTTGGTTTACAACGACTTGATCAATCCATAGGGTTTTCAGGTCCACCGAAATAAAATGGTTATCTATGTTCGACCATCACTACCTTTGAAGCTTAACTCATGTCAGGTGAGAACACCGAGTGAGCATAAATTTGTTCGGCGTTGTGTATTTGGTCCAGGAAGAGCGAGTGAAGTCTTCAGCACCGTTATATCGCGCACCAGGTTCCGATGGCTGAGCCACGTGTTGCGCATGCCAGCACACCGACTCCAACGACATGCGTTGTTTTTGCTCCCGGGGTCTGGATGGAAGAGAAGGAGGGGAGGCCAAACATTGACTTGATCAAGAGAAATGTAGGCCCGCACTTCGAATTTGGCATCGGTTGGTGCATCCCGACTACCGGGTTAGGGTCCAAAAGGCGATGACCACCACTGGTTGGATACACTTGCTGACATCGCTAGGAGCTGGCCCCAATAGCGTTTACGTTGTGCGTTTCCTTGTCCATCTCTCTCTCCTTTAGATTTCCTCTGCTCGTAGGACATAGCAAATGAATAATATAATATTTAACACTATATTACTTGATTTTCGAATCTTTTGTGATATAATTTTTATTATCTTTTTTTTAGTATTGTGGCACATTACCTTAGGTGTGTTTCACTCCCTCAGCTCATGTGTTTTGATGATGAGGATGATGTCAACTCATTCTAGTTTTCTACGACACCATATCCGGATCCATGTCCATCTGTTACTGATGGCTCCGATGGCGTTCTTGTGTTGCGCCTATTTTTCCTTTCTCATGTATTGCAACACAATAGATGAAGTGTTTCCCACCTCTAGCTAACTTGTATAATAATGTTCATAAGTCTGTCAGAGACATCCATCTCATTTTTGGAATCGCTATGCTTTACCTACGGGAACGTGATGGTGTTTACGCGGTATCACATTTTAATCCACCACTACAAGCAGAGTGTATTGAACTACTCACTATAGTTTCACATACAATTTTGGAATCCTAATGAACTTAATATGCTCCGACATGGATACCTTTTGGACATCGGTCGTTTACTAACAATTTCCTTGACCAGCTTCCCGTGCACTGTGAATAACGAGACTTGTCACAGGTATTAGTCCCTCATCACATAAGTGGCACTCAGGTTTAAACATCTTTCCCATCATTTTATGCAGTTTACTAGACCACGTTTGTAAAAGTCTTCATATCGGGTCAAAATCCATAACCTCGTCTTGCAAATCAGTCTCATTATTAGAAAAATGTTTACCCTCCAGCAATCGCTTCATACTCGGAAAGAGATGAAAGTGTGAGTAAGTTATCCTGTAAGTTATTCTGTCTGATACGGGAAACGGGCAGCAGGAGACCTGGTGTTAGTGAAACAATTTGTGATGAGAATGGACAGCCTATCCACAACTTGTCAAAACGTTTGGAGCGTTGAGCTGAGCATTTTGAAAAGCAATTTAATCAGCAAGAATTGTTCCATTCGCCCTGCTCCGTGGGCTGTCCCTTTGGATCCACCCTCTCGCTCAGAAGTCGAATGTGAGATCGGATTGTTGAAGTTGAACAAAGCCGCGGGACAAGATGATCTTCCTTCAGCCCTCTGCGAATTCGGAGGCTCTACTCTTGTTGGTGTTTTACAGGAATTAGTAGTGAAACTGTGGGAGCAGGAGACTGTCCCAACCGACTGGAGACGCTCCGTTATTGTTCCCATCTTCAAAGGAGACTCGCGTTCGGAATGTGGCAATCATAGAGGAAACAATCTGATCTCCATCGCCTCCAAATTACTCGCCTCCGTGATTCTTCACAGACCGACTGGCGCTCATGAAAGCCAGATTCGTGAGGAGCAACCGGGTTTCGTCGGGGTCGTGGCTGCATTGACCGCATCTTCACCTTGCGTCAGTTGTTAGAGCATCGTCACATACATTGGCGGCCCACAGTTGTCATCTTTCTCGATATCAAATGTGCATTGGATTCGGTTGAACCATGTGCTCTTTTGAATTGTCTACTCACGAAAGGTGTGCCCGAAAAGTATGTAAATATTATCCAAGCACTATACGCGCGTAGCACGGGTAGAGTGAGGGCTTACGGCAAGCTGTCGCCACCCTTCAATATCTCCAGCGGTGTGAGACAAGGATGCCCGCTGTCACCTTTCCTCTTCAACTTCGCTATCAACGCAGTCATGGAGGTTGCATTTACAGGACATGACTTGGAAGGTGTGGAGCTACTACCTGGTGAACGACTTCTTGACTTGGAGTATGCAGACGACATTGCCCTCATCTGTGACAGCTCCCAGACGTGCCAAACCGCGCTGGACAGATTAGCACTGACTGTCAGTCGCTTCGGGCCTTGCTTTGCACCACCGAAGTGCAAAGCGTTCCTCCAAGATAGGCAGGGATCGCCCCCTGTGCTGACCCTTGGTGGGAATCAGCTAGAAGTCGTTCGGATATTCAATTACCTGGGAAGTTGTATCAGCGCCCTTGGGATCGAAGACGAGATCACGAACCGTATAGCGAAAGCTCGAAGTGCTTTTGCTAACCTTCGCCACCTATGGCGGCGGCGCGACATTACTCTCGCCCTGAAGGGTAGAGTGTACAATGCAGCGGTACGTTCGACCTTACTGTACGGTTGCGAAACCTGGCCCCTAAGATCGGCGGACATAAAGAGGCTAGTTACGTTCGACCATCGGTGCTTTCGCAGTTTGGCTCACATCTAGTGGGAACACCGAGTGAACAATGAGCGTGTTCGACGCCTTGTTTACGGCACAGGAAAGGGAAATGAACCGCTCAGCACCGTCATTTCACTCACCAGGCTCCGATGGCTGGGCCACGTGTTGCGCATGCCAACCCACCGACTCCCTCGACGTGCGTTGTTTGCTCACCGGGGATGTGGGTGGAAGAAGAGGAGAGGTGACCAAGCGATGACTTGGTCCAGAGGAATGAAGGCCCTCACTTCTGAGCTGGCCTCAGTTGGAGCTTCACGGCTCCCTGGTTGGGGTCCAAAAGACGGTGAACACGTTTGACTGGATACACTTGCTGACATGGCAAGGAGCCGACCTCAGTGGCGTTCCTGCTGTGAGTTTCTTTGTCCATCTCCATCCCTTTTAGCCTCCCCCTCCATCTACGATCTCATTTCGTAGGGTAAAACATAATAAATTTTTTTGCCTAGTAGCTGGCTGGTAGCTCAGCTGGCATGCAACTGTCGTATTTATTTTTCCTTTATGTATCGTATGTATGTATTTCCTTTATGTATTGCGGTACAATAGCGAATGTGTTTCGCCACCTCTAGCTAACATGTACATTGATGATGATGATGATGGGGAGGGTCTGCAGAGCATGCATGATGAATAAGTGTTTCATAGCCACGGAACCGCGCTTTTGTATAGGTGATTTGCGTTTTGAACAGGAACTATGTCATGCAAGAGCAGAACAACTCTGATTCGCGTGCCACGTCTCTCTTTCTTGTTAACCATTATTAGTTGATATCGTAGCCAAACAGTATGTGCCTGGTAATACAGACACCTTTGGGAAGGAAATCCAACCTTATTACTCCATGGTAGTGCCAATAGACTGTGAGCATGGCCTTGCTGGCTAACGGTTGGACACCTGCTTTCTTTGAAGTTGGTGCATCATCATGTTTCCATTGTTTTGACTGGGCTTTGTTTTCTGGAGTATAATGATGTGCCATCGTTTCCACTTGTAATTATTTTGCAAAAAAAATTTATCCTGGTTTTTCTGACGCAATCAATTGGTTCTGAGAACCTTTGATTCTTCCTTGCTTTTGAAAAGCATGGGTAGTTAGGGCAACCTTAGCGACGACACTTTTCGTATGCTTAAATGATCATGGATAATACTTTCCAAAGACCTCACATTAATCTTGACATTTTGGGCTATTTTGCGAATGGTTTGAACTACGATCATGAAGAATGGTAGGCTCCACTTGGTGGATAATATCCTCATCAATAGCAGAAGGAGGCGACCAGAATTGGAAGCTGTCTCCAACCAAGTTTAAGCCGGCGATTTCAGCTTTTAACAATGCGCATGATGGTGTGTTATCGCCATATATCGTTTTACTTCACTACATGGTGTGTGACTCTGTAAGAAAAGAGGACTGATAACTGATATGTAAGCTACTGGCTCCGTAATGCAAACCTCAATCAAATCAGAACTTACAAAAGAAAACAGTAACCAGTATGAGGTTGCAGTTTGACAGGACACCTATAGATACATATGTTTTTAAAGTACACCATTTCAACCCTCCATGATTACTAGACGTTGGTCAGACGAAATCTTTATTCAACGACTCAGTTAGTTCCACTTAGTTGCCGGTTAACGAATTCAATATTTCGACAGTGTAGCTTTGAGTTTGACGTTTGCCTTGTACTGGCCTACGGCGCCGTTTTGCTACAGAACGGGTATCCAAGATAAGAGATGAAACGACATTTCCAACGAAGACTGCATTGTCTGAATCAGACCGGTTATAGCCATGTTCAGTAACAACGTTTGCTGCTCAGCCCATAAATCTGTTCTGTTTCTGCAACTTGGTATTTTCCTAGACTGTCAACATTTTCGCTGTGTGTGGGTGTCGTGTTCCCGAAGGTTTCTTTTTGATATTATGTATTAAGGTTTCTCTTCTCTCACCCTATTAGTGAGAGTACCTCCCAGTTTTTGTTTGTATTCCAGCGAGTCACCAATGCTGATACACCAGATAACTCCGCTGGTCTTGCGCTCTCTTATTTTCCCATACATCATCCAACTTGCAGCTTTTTGGCATCCTTGTATTGTCTTTTCGTTGTCTAATTCCGATGGATAGTGCATAACGATGCGGTCGACGTTTCTCAGGCTAACAACGAATATGTTGTATCGGCAAGGTGTCTAACCGTCCGATACCCCCTTTCCCTCATTTACTGGCTCCAGAAATCCCTAATCATCTGATTGTGGAGACCATTCTAGGTTCTAGTAGTAGTTCCATCTAGTGTGAGACGGGTCACGGTCCGGCCACTACGCAGTACACAATGCCTATCACGTTTGTTTTCCTCATTGTCGCACCTGCGTGCTTACTGACAATATGACTTCATGACTAATTCCTTCGGGTTCACATAGAATATGGAATGTGTGGGTGGCGTGTACAATCTGTTGCCTAGAAAACCCAGTTTTTCAACTCAAATGTTCTTTGCTCCCACCTCTATCTTCCAAGGTTTCATACTTCCTAGTAGCGTTGTTTATGAGGCGCAGTTGATTGCGATAACTGCTTAGTTGTATTATTTCCAGAGTGCACGACGAATTTCGGTGCGGACTTCCATTTTTCACACTTCTTTCAACTCTGCATTTCATTCAGCATTAAGAGAAATGTTAACTGAATGTGGATTAATTATTCGATGATGATGATTTGTGCATCAAATAGTTACACCCTTTATTTCATGTTAGTTTCCAGCCCAAAGAACGATGGGAATTCAAGTCGAATATGTGATAACAACTGGTGAATTCCAATCTGCGCCAAGGCCCGGCGCTCTCTGCGGACACCAGATTGGAGTCGAAAATGATTGCTTCACTCTGTGCCTCATGCCAAAAACATATATATGTGTGTCGCGTCACTTCCCTTGTACATATATATGTTTCTGCCGAAGTACAGCTACGTAATAGGAAATGAACCGCCTTTCAGCAGTATATTCTGAATTCCGTTTTCTTCTTCGTGTATTCTGTTCAGCTGCTGACATACTGAGTATGGCCATTCATCATGGGGATGTTGCAGGATACTAACTTGTCGAATGCCAGGGCTCGATTACGATTTTCCTCCAATTTCACTGATCTTTGGCGACGGCGGATTCTTTCTTCGTAATAGCACCTTGTGGTGAATAAGATATCTGTCCAGCTTCAGGTACCGAAAGGTCTCGTTTCCATATTTTTGCGTCAGGTCGATTTCGCTTCGTAAGTGCCACCTTAGACTGAATACAATTTTCGCTGTTCATGTGAAATCATGTGTGCCATTATAAAATACGTTGTAGCTAATACATGGCAACTTTCAACGTTCGAACTCTCATGCAGATAGGACATCCAGCTGGCCTAGCACGCTTCCTAGAGTCCATCAGTATGGATGTTTGTTGAGTTTTCAAGATTCAATTACAGGAATCTAGCACCATCGTTAACTTGACATTCCATGCTGATCTCGGAACCCAGTTTTTCCTGCGTCTGTTTGGTGACACAGAAGCAGCTGCAGCTGACTTGGCTGGTGTTGGCATCGCATTTATTGACAAAGTTGCGACGACGCTGTTCGCATGACTCCTGTTTGATAGCCAACTATGCGGTTCGGCTTCAGTGCTCATGCAGGATTAACGCACATCGTGAGGAGAGATACGACTTGTTTGTGATCACCTACTACGCTTCAACCGATTGCAGTTGTGCATCGGCTAATAGCGATTTTTATCACATACTCCACCAGCTATTGAGTTGAGTTAGAAAATCCGATATAGTCTTTGTTTGAGACTTTAATTCACGCGTTGCTCGCCAACTGTCATGCGAACGCCATCCTGATGGCCGTCATGCTCTTTATAAGGGCTGCTCTGACAACGGAAATGTGCTTAACAGGTTATGTGTGGTCAACCGCCTCTTTCTCTCGATCACGAACGTCAGGTACTCAAGGAGACGCGCAGCCGCCTGGCGTCACCCTTCGCTAAGTGGCAAATTTATCACATTGTGATCAAATTCAGATGGCGGGGCAGTGTACGCGAATGCATATTCATTTGGTCCATCTAAATCGGTTCAGATCACGCTCTGATCTGTGCGGACATGTACATGTCGAACCACCTTAAGCTCGATACCAACAGGTCAGCAAACCCCTCCATTCAACTGGCCATCAATCTTCCTCATCAGATGCGTTCACTGGTGCCTCACCTCGAAAATCACTGGAGTTTCTTGCTTAAAGTGATGCTCTCTTCCGGCAAATCATCCAGCGGTATCGAGATATCCAAAACCACTGAGCGCTTTTTGAAAGGCCGGATCTCCGCTCGCTCTTCAGAGTTGTTTGATCATCGCCGAGCTATTCCAGCTGAATCAAATAGTGGTGAAGTCCGCCGCAACCTCGGCAAGCAACTCAGGCAAAACCTGCGTTATGATCCCGAAACCTAATCGTCTCAGCATGCTCCAGGGACGGGAAACTCGCATTCTTTCCCAGATCATACGCACCAGTAGCCACAGAAGACCTGATGTTATTAAAGCTTTTTACGGAGTCGATGAATCACCACGCTAATCTGTGTAGACGCATGGACCACTGGGCTGAGCACTTCTATTCACCATTCAGTCAACCTCCTCTGTCCGCATGTCTGACAAAGATTCCAATCGCACGCCTTGGAACGTTTCACTGGGATCACCCACCGAAGCATAGGCCTTCCTTGAGCCTCGTCACTTGAAACGGTCCAAACCTGTTGGTTAGGGCGCATTCCAGATGGAGAGGTCATTGTCAACCAATTAACAACTATGTTCTCCATGATTTTCTGAGAAGAAAAGGTTTCAGCCTTTTGGAGCGACTCGATTATCATCGTCATCTCCAGGAAAATTGTGTATCATATGCGCCAATCACAGGGGAATCCATCGACTCTAGATTGTTATTCTTCAGACTAATTTCCACTCGATGAACAGGCTGGTTTCTGTTTGGGTCAAAGACATGTAAGGCACATATTTACAATCCGCCAACTTCTCGAGTAGCGTCACCCGTACCGCCAATCTACCATTTCCATCTTTTTGCACATCCCGGCTACTTTTGACAATATTGATCCGTGCTCTCTGTGGCATTGCCTGCAAAAGGATGGAGTACCCGAAAAGTATATCACCATTTTTGAGAAATGTCTCGGATAGACTGAACGCTTATGGTAAGCTTTCTCCACCTTTCACCATCACCAACAATCTACGACAGGGATGCCCCATCTCCTTTCTCCTCAAGTTTGCGATTGAGGGTGTCCTGTTGAGCCTTTTGAAAACTATTCAGAGTTCTGGCGTTGAGCTTCCATAGAACTCCGCGGCTGACAGACTATGCTGATGATATTGCCTTGTTCCATCATGACCCACGTGATATGCAGCCTATTCTAGACCGCTTATTAATTGACTCTATTAATTGCTTTCACGAAATGCAGTCCTACCCCATGGTTGGCATCCACCTGCCTCAGTACTTGAGGACACGGTTCTCGAACGGGCGGACAGTTTCGTTTACCTGAGAAGTTGTGTTTGTGCTGATTGTACTTTTAGATGGGAGATTTCTCTTCATATTATCAAACCTCGATTAACTCGCCATAATCCGTGGTGTCATCGTCACTTTCACTCTCAGTGATAGTCATGGTCCATGATGCCTGTGTTCGGGCGGTACTGTTGATGGAAATGAGTTCTGACCGATTCCCTTAGATAACATGCTTCGGATTTCGGTCTTTGACAACGGTTGTCTGTGGAGGATATCTGTTGTGTGGTGGGAATACCACGTTTGCAACGATAATGTCAGACATCGCGTCCTGGGTACTACTGACCTCCCTCTCAATAATCTAATCTCCCTGCGCCGACTGAGGTGGCTAGGTCACGTCCTACGCATGCCGCACGAGGGTTTACTAAAGTGCACTCCTCATTCGCGCACAGTCGCATGGGGAGAAATCGTGCGGTGTTCAGCCTACCGCATCGCGACAAAATGTCACTGCATTGACGACTAGTTTCTTCATCATCAACCGCAATACATCAACCATTTGAACTGATGCTTTGCTGCCATACAACCACGGTGACCTAAGAAACGAAGAACAATAAGAGGAAGAGATAGGGGACCTGGCGTAAAACCCTAATTTCCCACACCTCGTCAACAACATAACATCAGAAACAGCTGACTATCCTGCAAGGATAAGGTGGCATCAGAGAGACAGCTTCCTTGCGGCGTTCACTGCCCCGCTTCATAATCAGCCATTACTCCGCAGATTACTCAACAAAGGCACTTTAAACAGGCAGTCCGACTAGGAGACGACAGTAGAAACACCACTGGTGTCGACTGCGAGCCATTTCCTGTAATGCCTCAAGCCAAGCCCAACGCGGGCCACGTGGACTCCAACCTGGTAGGTGAAACGGATCGACGGCACCGAGTACGGTTGTCAGTGACTTCATTTCCCGCTACCAAGTCAATTTTTGTTCACCTCGAGTCTTGTGCCATCCTACATCTGGCAGACTAAACAAGGCTCTCCTCGCCAAGCGCTAATCGGGCATACCTAGTATGTGCCCAAGCGAACGCAACTTATTCAGTGCTATTTGTTGTTCTAAGCAACTAGCCTGGTTATCACCGCTTAGTACTCACTTACGCAACTCGTCGTTGCGGACACGCTGGTGCCATCCGACACCAGCAATGCTCCGCAATCAACGATGCTCATGACTTGGGTATGCTGCATGTCCTTAGATCGAAGGGACCAAGTGTCACTCCCATAGACTAGGACGGACTTCACTGGTTCCTTGTAAACACAGCTTTCCAGACCGAGGGAAACCCATTTCTGACACCCAGATATCGCAGGTTCAAGAAGGTGGTTGTGGCTTCTGAATTGCGTGAACTGACTTCAGTGGCTAGGCGCCCATCGTTGCTGTTGTAGTTGCCAAGGTAAATGAATCGATCAACTGCCTCGCGTTCCTCGTTATCAAGGGTCAAGTGGCTAATGGTCCTGCAGCAAGACTGCACTATGATTCGAGATGCATTCCAAATAATGGGACCACTTTAGGGAGGTTATTCAGGGTTGATCATGCCGTCCCAGAATCGTTAAACAGCAAGTCGATATCGTCTGCATAAGCAAGATCAACTACCCTTTCATCAGGCAGGACCTCAGCACCTGCAACGGTAGATTCAGCAAGGAAACACTGCATAATGGAGTTCACGACGTATTTGAGCAAAAACGGGAAAATTAGGCGATCCTGACGTACGCCACTTGTTCTCGGAACGATATCCAATATGTCACCGTATACCCTGACGCGGCCTGCAGTGTTCGAGTATAGAGCACCCATAATGTTTACGTGTTTCACGGGAACACCTTTCTACGGAAGTATTTCGATCAGTATGGATCGATGGACTGTGTCGAACGCATTCTTGTAGTCGAGGAACAGCTGCCGTCCGTGTGCGTCGCGCTGCTCTAGCATCTACCGCAGAGTGGAAATGTGGTCCATACAGCCCGGTCCTGGATTGAAACATGTCTGCTCTTAATTACTCCTTGATTCCATTTTCCCAGTGAGGCGATAGGAAAAGAATTGAAGCCACTATTTTTTGTCACCACTGATGTTGGGCTAATACCCTTTTGGTTAGCCCAATCAGTGCGACTACCCTTTTTGTATATTACCACCATAATTTACTCACTCCAGTTAACGGGAACAGTGTTCCTTCCAGACAGGGTTGTCAGTACTTTGCAGAGAATCTCACCATCATTTCTAAATAATGTGTGTGTGATATAATCCGGGCCAAGAGCACGAAAACAG